TCCGGTTGCATATTTTTCTACTGAGTATGAAGTCGAATCACTCCATGGTGACATTTTATCCCTGTGTTCGAGGGTGATATCATGACCCGTATCGGGGTGGTGGCCTAGTGGTTAAAGCGTTCGCTCCTCACGCTAAAGATCCGGGTTCGATTCCCCACATGGGAACAATGTGTGCAGCCCATTTCTGGTGTCCCCCGCCATGCTATAGCCGGAATATTGCTAAAAGCGGCGTAAAACCATACTCACTCACTCACTGTATTTCAATGAACATCACTGTATTTGTAAGTACACTCTTCCAAAAAATAAACGCATAGGCGTTTTCAGCAGTTCATTTCGATATATTTTGACAGCAATCGTTAATAAGACAATTCCTATGTTTGAATCCCGTTAACCATGTCGTGGTTGTTGTGTATTGCGCGCAAACGCACCCCAAAATGTGGTTAAAGCGTTCGCTCGTCACGCCGAACACCCGGGTTTTATTCCCCACGTGGAGACAATGTAAGAATCCCATTTCTGGTGTCCCCACCCATGATATTGCTGGAATATTGCTAAAAGTGGCGTAAAACTAAACTCACTCACTGTGATAAAACACATTCAAGAATCAGTATCAGAGGGACCCTCTCCAACACGATATCTGCAGTGCCTGAACTAAAAAGGAAAGTAATTATAACGATTTGAATGAAACAATATTTCAAATCTTTTGTTAAAAAATCTATCGCTTTCGTTTCTTATTCTTTCAGGGAATTTGTATTCGGTTCCCAAGTAGCCTCATGTACAGTGAGTGAGTGAGTTTAGTTTTACGCCGCGTTTAGTAATATTCCAGCAATATCACTGCGGGGACACCAGAAAAGTCATGTACAGTGAAGTTCGTCGAGTGAATCCGGTTGCATATTTTTCCACTGTGTATGAAGTCGAATAACTCCATGGTGACATTTTATCCCTGTGTTCGAGGGTGATATCATGACCCGTATCGGGGTGGTGGCCTAGTGGTTAAAGCGTTCGCTCCTCACGCTAAAGATCCGGGTTCGATTCCCCACATGGGTAGAATGTGTGAAGCCCATTTCTTGTTCCCCCGCCGTGATATTGCTGGAATATTGCTAAAAGCGGCGTAAAACTCACACTAACACACACACACACACACACACACTAGTAGTCGTGTCAAATTTGTGTAGTTTATTAATGTGATTTTACCGAACGACAACTGGAAATGAGTAAGCTGCCCTGTGTCTGTGGTTGACAAACCTTCTAAGCCGGCCAGCATGGCCATAAACTTTCAGTCATTTACGCTTGTAATAACGTCGTCGTTTGCATGTACACGGTGCCAAGTAGTTGGTACTGTCATATTGCCTGTGTGTTTGGAGTAATCTCCTGTGGGGACAGAGCTTACACTACGTGAGCTATCATCATACAAATCGGATGATAAATCGGTTGCATTTGGAATCGATATCTTGTCGTAGTTATCCGACGGTGGAGACCATTGTCCCGGGTGATGACGCAATGTGATTTCTGCCCAGTGCTCTGAATGTCAAAGTGAAGAAAGTCAATCAAGCGCGGGAGTAACTATGACTCTCTTTAGGTAGCCGGGGCGGTGGGGTAGCCTAATGGTTAAAGCGTTGGCTCGTCACGCGAAGACATCGGTTCGAATCCCCACATGAAACCTAGTCAATTTGTGAAGCCCATTTCTGGTGTCCCGAGCGCCGTGATCTTGCTGGAATATTGCTAAAAGCGGCGTAAAACCAAACTCAGTCAGTCTTAAGGTAGCCAAATGCCTCGTCATCTAATTAGTGACGCGCATGAATGGACACATGTGACTTTTGAATTATTATTTTATTATAGGATATTTATATAGAGCACATATCCACGCACTAGTGCATGCTCAAGGCGCTGGTATTTTTTCCCTCGATCATTGGATGTCAATATCAACTGCACATCGTATTAGCAATCTCAACTCCCTGGGGAGTATACAACTTCTTTCCATAGGCCAGAATCATTGAAATCTTCCAGGCTCAAAACACTAGAACCAGCGCCAGAATCTAACATTTTTTAAACTCACTGTTCTCCTAAAACAACATGAATTCTGAGCCGTTTTATCATTTTCAGATGTATTCTGCAAAACTAAAGATTTAGGCTTGTTGTAACTTGGAGAATTACAAACCTGTGACTTCAAATAAGTATGGTCAAAGGTTGGTTCAGTCAATGGGAAATGTCCTGCGTGGTCTAGACTGTACTTGCTATCTGCCAGTTAGGTTAGCTGACTGATACCCAGCCCTGTATATTCGTTGAAAATGTCCAATCTTTTGACAACAATGGCTCTGAACATTGCGTGCGGGACAGAAATCAGAATGAGAAAAATCGTACTCATCACCGCATCTGTAACACTGTCATGGGCCATGTTGTGTCCTTGATTGTTCTCCGTCCATTGAGGAGGGGGCTGCCACGGTCGATTTGTATACCTGGGGGGATTGTCTGGGGAATTGGGGACATTGATTCTGTCGGGACTTGTAAGTACTGATCTGTGACGATACATGATCTCAGAGTATCGATTGCTTGCATGACGTTCGTAATGTCTTCAGACTGGGGATGACCGATCTGGTCAGTCGCGCTGTTTCATTAAAACATGTCGTCTGGTACTGCCATCCAGTCCTCTAACAAACGCGTCAATTAGAACCATGTCTGTCTTACCTAACAGGCTAGCCGTCTTGGTCAACTGCGCCAAATAAGTATCTATAGTTTCCGTAGGGGATAACTTACGACCCACATCGGAGAAGCTTTTAAAATGACCAACCGGTGGACGTATATGTCCCAGTGTGCGAAATAGCCGCTGGCCCGCTAGCCCGTGGCTTGTACAAATCCAGTCGGGCCAGTAAATCTTAACAGTCACTGGCCCGACCGGCTAGTGAATTTTCAGGGGGTTATTTTGTAAATGTATCACTCTCTCCGACTTGTTCAATTATAATACACTTTTAAATCATGCAAGATTATGGTCTGGTAAAAATGTTCATCATATTAGCAGCTTAATGACGACTTATTTGAGCATAAACCAACATATTTCAGACATGTGTTTTCATATTTATTTTTGATTGTATTTTACCTTTTTTGTAATCTTTTGCTTAGTTTCTACATTCGGAGCAATGGGGTAGCCTCGTGGTTAGGGCGTTCGCTCGTCACTCCGAAGACCCGGGTTCGATTCCCCACATCGGGACAATGTGTGGAGCCCATTTCTGGTGTCCCCCGCCATGATATTGCTGGAATATCTAAAAGCGGCGTAAAACCATACCCACTCACTCACTCACTAGTTTCTACATTCAAATTTCGGTTAAATTTATGTTGTGGTCTAGTGACTCTCAGGCATAATTAGCCCGACTGGCAGGCAAAATTTGGAAACTATTTCGCACACTGATTTGTCCTTCAGTTATTTCTCAACCTCATAAAAAATGAGAATTTCGTCCTCTGCCGATTGTGTCAGATCTTCTGCTTGATGTGCGAACACCTTTACCACTGGCCTAACCTACCGCCCCGGGGTCTTTTTGAGTGGTTCGAGCCTGTCACTAGTTCTAACATGTTCTAGTTCGTAAAAACTGTATATAACTTTGAACTCATGTGTGTCGTGATTGGAAGAATACCGGGCAGCACTGATTGGTGACTCACCCCTTTCCAATGATTGGTTAATGTAAGCTTACTCTATCGTCCGTGGCCTAAATCCAAATCCTCTCTATTGACTTCTTGGTAACTCGCGACTTTCTGTCTCCCTGCGTCACCATCAAAACTCCCCCAAATGAAAGATTATGAACTCTCTGTAATGCAAACGATATTGGAGATGAACTTCACTTTTTTGTTTATTTGACCTATCTTGGCCCAAGAAAGGAACAGAAAAATATACCAACAACTAACCCGAATTTAACAAAATGAACCAGCTTTTTCGCTTTTTTCTCCATTTCTAAGCAACGCCCCCACAAAAGATAACCAATAACGCATGAGTGTAACATTAACAGGTTAAATGTGTGTACAGATAGTTTATTCTTGCAACCAAGCGATATGTATATATGACCACCACATATGTTTCATACATAAAGACGCCGAAGACCCGGGTTCGAATCCCCACATGGGTACATTGTGTGAAGCCCATTTCTGGTGTCCCCCGCCGTGATGTTGCTGGAATATTGCTAAAAGCGGCGTAAAACCAAACTCAGTCAGGCAGTCATACATAGAGGATATTACGAGTGCCCATGTAATACTATGTTAACGACACGAGTGCCTTAATGTTGGTATTTCCCGAGCGAGAAAACATGTCGTAAACATAGCATGATATGGGCACGAATATAATATTCTATTTATTACCGAAGTCGTCAAATTAAGGAAAATAAACCCAAATCTACTTTCAAACATAGGCTGGCTACCCGCCGTCGCCGCATGTAGAACGTAACGTCACATAAGAAACGTGACGTCATAGCATTGTTCATGACGTCATGTCACCATGATAAGTGATATTTTACCCTAGTATGAAAAATATGAACCCGATATGTTCGCCCTCGTAGGTAATAAATATATTTAAGTTGTACATTATGATGTAAAACTTGTACCTCTAATGCCGCAGAATGCGTCCGGAATGTAAATAAAGCTCAGTTCAGTGTCTGACCGTAATCACTCATGTGGATAACCGCAAATTTAAATACGGAATAATTCTCTAATGGTCTTGGGATGCATTTCTACCTTTTAACAATGTTACTGGTGTAACTGACGCCCCGAATCTGTCGATGACATTGGGTAACCGTTCACGACGTCGGATATGCCCGTTGTAAACGTAAGGATATTTATTTATTTGTTTGTTTGTTTTTGTTTGTTTGTGAACCGAACCACAATAATTTCCCTACCAAAGTTTGTTTGTTTGTTTGTTTGTTTGTTTGTTTGTTTGTTTGTTTACGACGAATGGATTTATTTATTTATTTATTATAGTTTCTTTTTGGCTCAGTATATATACATTTATTTTTTATTTATTTCAGGTGTCAGCAGACAGGAAGCTTCATGCATTATGGGTAGACGGGCGTCAACCCGGATGTTCCGTGACTTCCTGTGCAGCCTCGCTATCGGCTTCCTGACCGGATTCATCACGAGCCACACCGTCTTCGTTGTGTTATGGCGCCGACAGGAGGCGGCGTGCAGGTTACCTGGGGGGTGGGGAAGGCCCCGCCCTCCACCCACAGACCCCAAGCCGCAGTGTGACACAGACATTCCTACAGAGAGACTTGTGTTTATCGGTGTAATGACTGCCCGGAAGTATCTGAAAACGCGTGCCGACGCCATTTATAAAACATGGGGTAAACACGCTCCAGGTCGGCTCGTATTTTTCGTGGGGACGGGAGAGAATTATGAAACGTCGTTGCCGGTGATAGTGTTGAGCGACGTTGCCGACGACGACTACCCGCCGCAGAGGAAGTCGTTCGAGATGCTCCGGTACATGTCCAGCCAACACGGTCACGACTTCCACTGGTTCATGAGACTTGACGATGACGTGTTTGTCAACACGGAACACCTGCGGACGTTCCTTAATTCCATTAACAGCTCCAAACATGCGTACATAGGTCATCCGGGCGTTGGAAAAGTTGATGAGAAGGGACATCTGGGTCTCCATGACGACAAGCCTTACTGTATGGGGGGCCCGGGGGTAATACTTAGCGGTCCCACCCTGAGACATGTTGCACCTCATCTACTTGGGTGTCTGAACGACACAGTGACGTCACACGAAGACTCAGAACTTGGGAGGTGTGTGGAGAAAGTAACGGGTCTATCATGTACAATCGCGAGAGAGGTATGTAAATTATCTTGACATAATCTGACTGACTGACTGACTGAGTTTGGTTTTACGCCGCTTTTAGCAATATTCCAGCAACATCACGGCGGGGGACACCAGAAATGGGCTTCACACATTGTGCCCATGTGGGGACTCGACCCCGGGTTTTCGGCGTGACGAGCCAACGCTTTAACCACTAGGCTACCCCACCGCCCGACATAATCTGATTCCTACTGGTTACGTAGTGGTAGTCTAGTGGTTAAAGCGTAAGCTCGTCACGCCGAAGACTCGGGTTCGATTCCCCACGGGTGTCCCTCGCCGTGATATTGCTGGAATATTGCTGAAAGCGGCGTGCAACCATACTCACTCACTCCACCATATCGGAATTATTGGGCAGCCTCATTGCTGAAGCGTTCCCTTGTCACTCGATGTCACTCATGCAATAATTTTGCTGAGATATTGGTGGAGGTTGACGAAGACTCTAACCACACGCTAATGGCAACACAAGTTTGCAAAATTGTTTTGTTAGTTGTTTAATGTCGGACTCAGCCGTTTTATATAAAGGCCTTATACAAATGTATAAAATTGCTTTTTTTCACCGAACCCAGCAATAAACCAACCAGTATATGACGGCAATAATTGAAGCAATAATAGATCATAGGATTGTCTGGTCCAGGGTATTATTTACAGTTTGATGTGATAAGGTTGAAATTTTGGTACATGTGTGAAAAACATATTTGTATGAACTTGGTAATACATGGTAATCCGTATAATCCAAACAGCAAATCTCAAAGATTACAGTTCCATTCCTTTGTGAAAAGGTGATGTTCTTCCATTTTGTATCCGTGAAGGTCCGGGTTAGAATGAACCTTCAGTAACCCATGCTTGTCGTAAGAGGCGACTAACGGGATCGGATGGTCAGGCTCGCTGACTTGGTTGACACGTCATCGGTTCCCAATTGGGTAGATCGATGCTCATGCTGTTGATCACTGTATTGTCTGGTCCAGACTCGATTATTTACAGACTGCTGAATGCGGCGTAAAACTAAACTCACTCACCCACTCACCATTTTGTATCCCTTGTGATGAAAGTATCATTTAAGCATGTTCTGGTGACTGTGTTGATTTCACATCACAACATGGGCACAATGTGCCAAGCCCATTTCTGGTGTCCCCCGCCGTGGCATTGCTGGAATATTGCTAGAAGCGGCGTAAAACCATACTCACTCACCCACATGACAAGAGATCAACACTTTAAATCATCATATATGAAGGATTTTTTAAAAAGTAAAAGTTTTCATTTAGTTAGTGTATTTTAAGACAGTTGAATTGACTGATATTATTATAAAGTAAAAAGCGTGTTATTCTAAATAGGTAGTACATGATTATTGACTAAATTCTTGACAGTGCCCTCAGTGAAGTACCATAATATGGCGCATCCCCACAGAGGAATCTCATTGGAAGTATATCTATATCTGCCATTGTTTTAATAGTTGAATATGTGTTTCTTTATTTGTTTGGCTAAATTACTCATTAATCGCCATCAGTGCAAATCCCGCTATGTTCCTTGCAGGTAGCAGAGGCACTTCGTTTACCTTCAGCTGCTGGCGATCTGCAGTCCGTTTTTATATTGTATCGGTCTCTGTAGTGCCATCTTCTCTATGCTAACATGTTAGGTTAAGTCAAAATTTGTGATTCTCAAGTTGTCTATTGTCAACATGTATTTCTTATGGCTGAAATATTGCCGTCATGACGCTAAATGCTCACTCCTTTGTCACTCTCACTCACTTGCACCATTGTCACTCACATCACTCACTCACTCACTCACTCACTCACTCATTGCCGTCATCACTCACTCACTCACTCACTCACTCACTCACTCACTCACTCACTCACCTTCACTCACTCACTCACTCACTCACTCACTCACTCACTCACTCACTCACTCACTCACTCACTCACTCACTCACTCACTCACTCACTCACTCACTCACTCACTCACTCACTCACTCACTCACTCACTCACTCACTCACTCACTCACTCACTCACTCACTCACTCACTCTGTTTCAGTTCGATGGCATGTTTTCTCAAAGTTACAACGAAGAAACCGGAGCGTGGACAGTAGGCTTAAAAGCAGAGAAGCAAAACGCTATTTCCTTCCACCCTATAAAACAGCCAATGTACCAATTCTCCCTTGGCATCATGCTTTCGGCAAAGACTTTACGGGAGAAAATGAAACACATGGCCGTCCTAGCTAGAGAAAAATATTTTATAAAAACTTCCGGGTTCGTTTCTTTTGATGACCCGGATGTTAAAAACTGTTGGGCTAGTCCATGTGACGTCGACAGTGGGGAGGTCTGGTCATGTGTGAACGCATACGACGTTTTTTCAATGGAATCACCCAATCTCAGAACGTCCATATTGCACAAAGGAAGAGCGTTTGGTTTAGCGGAAGCTCGACACGCGTTGGGACAATTTTTGAAAAGGGAAAGAATTCGGAAACGACTTCGTCTTTCACCTATCTCGTATCAGCGAGTGTCTCCAGAAAGAGGCTTTGAACACGTGCTCGTCACTCGGTATGCCAAGGCCAAATGTTTGCTATTTCGGAGCCGACAAAAATTTGACCCTATTCATTTTCGTGAAATACCCCCAAGGGGGAGTAAGCTGGCCTAATTTAATTGGAAATAAATGATCTCATGTTGTGCTGTGTGTGTCAGTTATTTTCGTGAAACGCCTGGATGGCTGAGTTACAGGTTAACGTCGTATCAGCGACATTTCGGCCATTTGGCGACAAAATATCCCAGAGAAAGAAAATAATATATATACTCAAGCAAGGTGAGCGAGCTGTCTCAGGCACCGCGCTAGTAAGCGAAAGTTGCCTGGATCGTCCCCACTTGTGACCGGGTGTAAAAACTTTGGAGTTAACATTACTTGCAGGCTCTTTCAGTGTTGGCACAACCACTAGTGTGCAGTACACAACCCTGTGCACTTAAAAGAACCCACTCATCCGATGGTAGGTGACCAGATGATGGACACACGAAGACGTGCAGACACCTAGTTGCGGGTATAGTTACGTGCAGTATCACTGGACAAATTACTGTGACTATGTGTCCAAGTTCATCCAGCTGCAAATGGGTACCTTGTGAGGATGAGGCTGTGTGATAACTCGCTGCGCCTAACAAGCTACATGAGTTGAATACTCCCCAGGGAGTTGAGTTGATTAAAAACAAAATGCCAGAAAAAAGACATCCGTTGATCAAGGGTACGCTTCAGCGCCTTTGTTTAGTTTTACGCCGCACTCAGCAGTGTCGTAACAGGTGTTTGGTTAGATGTATCTACTAATTAAGTGGTAGCTCAGTCAATCCACTCGTTTGGTCCGTTGCAGGATGCCAAGTCTTGGAGTGAGGGGTCAGGTTCTGTACTCCACCAGGTTCTGTACTCAAAATGTTGACTGATGTTTGACCCTTCTTAGTCATTGTCACCGAACATAGTCCCAGCTAACATACAACGTTATAGCAACGTTGTGGGAAGGGTGTAGATTGGTAACGTCATGACACAACGTTGTCACAACGTCAGTATTACGTCATTTTATAACGTTATGTCACAACGTAATAACAACGTTGCAAATTTACGTTGAGGAAACGTTATGATCTGGGCTCCTCACAACGTTATAACAACGTTGCAAATTTACGTTTAGGAAACGTTATGCTTTGGGCTCCCTACAGCGTCTTAACAACGCTTCTTATAACTTGGTTTCACGATTGAGTTTTCTGTAAAACGTTTTACTTTGAGATTCTTTTGTCACTATTCAACTACAGCTTCAGAAAACACATGACCAAAACAACGTGCAAATTACCAAATAAACATGAATTTCTGCTTTGTCTCATATGTTCACAGCTGGGAAAACTATTCGACTATTAACTTTAAATAGAACGTTAAGACAACCTAAAATACGTTACCATCAAATAACTATAACCCTGTGGCGACGTAAAATGACGTATCACAACCACAACGTTGTAAGAACGTAAATTTTAGTCAACAGAATAACGTCGTAACAACGAAAGCATAACGTTGTGACAACGTTGTGACAACGTGAAAATGTTAGCTGGGGAATATGTCATAGGAAATGTCTGAGGGGTTAAAGGCCCAATGTCACACATTTCCGCCAATATTTTGGCGTTTATGGGGCAAACAAGATTGGTGAAGTCCCCTATCCAAAGCGTAGGAAGGAAAGGAATCTAAATAACTATCTCAGGACCATCAATTAAAATATCCGAAATAAATGTGCCTTTTTCATTTGCTGACAAATAAGGCGTAAATCGTACGGATGTTATCAAACACGTTAGTATCAAATAATAGATGTGGAATAGATAGAGCATTTTTTTCAAGGAAAGGTTGTGTAAAAGGTTCAAGAGGTTTTAATGCGGACGAACACAAAATTTCGATAAGATTATGAGGATATAATTTAGATGCCGTTGTCTTCCTGACAATTATACAAACCTGACAAGACATTGAAGGATCGCCACCGGGCTCTGTTGAAAAGAAGGTCTTTTTTGGAGAGCAGTGATCGACGGTTCGAACACAATGCTTGCTGTCGAAATTGTTACAGCATTACCGCATCAGTGAAGACGAGGTACAAACACACACACGGGCGTGCACGTGGCTAAATACGACCAGCAACTTGAATGCGAGCCATTTCAACATGCTAAAGTTCATACAGTGAAATCACATGTCAATGCTTTTCATATTCGCACAGGCGTCTCTACAACCGTTCCGACCAGCAAAGGCTACTGAAATGTCTGTATCGTTTGTTTGTTATAAACTATCGACAAACCACCATTCTGAAAAAGGAAACTGAATTTTAATAACAGGTGTATGTGGTGTATGAACATGCATTTTGCCCATACACCTGTTATTAAAATCCACTTTCCTTTTCGACAATGGTGGTTTATCGTTTTGTAATATCAGTGATTTCGACTTGGTATTGTTTCTTTCGCCCGTCAACTTAGTTATCAACATGGACTTTTTGACCAAATACAGGACTATATACTAATTTCTTAACGTTTGGAATAGTATTGGTATTGATGACAATGCACACATTTCCAAAATTCCTAAGCATTTGGTTTTAATTTACACGAATATGTGTATATGTCATGAGTTGAACATTGACTTCGTTGAATATTGAAAATATTTGTTTTACACAGGAAAGACCCAATCCATTGTAATGTCACGGTTCTTGAACTTGCATTGTCCTGCAAACTTGGACTGCACTTAACCATCATTAGGGCTCAGTGCTACACGTAACCATCATGACGGCTCAGTGGTACATGCATACATCATGACGGCTCAGTGGTACATGCATACATCATGACGGCTCAGTGCTACATGCATACATCATGACGGCTCAGTGGTACATGCATACATCATGACGGCTCAGTGGTACATGTATACATCATGACATCATGACGGCTCAGTGGTACATGCATACATCATGACGGCTCAGTGGTACATGCATACATCATGACGGCTCAGTGGTACATGCATACATCATGACGGCTCAGTGGTACATGTATACATCATGACGGCTCAGTGGTACATGCATACATCATGACGGCTCAGTGCTACATGCATACATCATGACGGCTCAGTGGTACATGCATACATCATGACGGCTCAGTGGTACATGCATACATCATGACGGCTCAGTGGTACATGCATACATCATTAAGGCTCAGCGCTACATGCATACATCATGACGGCTCAGTGGTACATGCATACATCATGACGGCTCAGTGCTACATGCATACATCATGACGGCTCAGTGCTACATGCATACATCATTAAGGCTCAGTGCTACATGCATACATCATTAAGGCTCAGCACTACATGCATACATTATTAAGGCTCAGTGCTACATGCATACATCATTAAGGCTCAGTGCTACACGTAACCATCATGACGGCTCAGTGCTACATGCATACATCATGACGGCTCAGTGCTACATGCATACATCATTAAGGCTCAGCGCTACATGCATACATCATGAAGGCTCAGTGCTACATGCATACATCATTAAGGCTCAGCACTACATGCATACATTATTAAGGCTCAGTGCTACATGCATACATCATGATTTGGCTCAGCGCTACATGCATACATCATTAAGGCTCAGCACTACATGCATACATTATTAAGGCTCAGTGCTACATGCATACATCATGACGGCTCAGCGCTACATGCATACATCATTAAGGCTCAGCACTACATGCATACATTATTAAGGCTCAGTGCTACATGCATACATCATTAAGGCTCAGTACTACATGCATACATCATTAAGGCTCAGTGCTACATGCATACATCATGACGGCTCAGTGCTACATGCATACATCATTAAGGCTCAGTGCTACATGCATACATCATTAAGGCTCAGTGCTACATGTATACATCATGAAGGCTCAGTGCTACATGCATACATCATTAAGGCTCAGTGCTACACGTAACCATCATGACGGCTCAGTGCTACATGCATACATCATGACGGCTCAGTGCTACATGCATACATCATTAAGGCTCAGCGCTACATGCATACATCATTAAGGCTCAGTGCTACATGCATACATCATTAAGGCTCAGCGCTACATGCATACATCATTAAGGCTCAGCACTACATGCATACATTATTAAGGCTCAGTGCTACATGCATACATCATTAAGGCTCAGTACTACATGCATACATCATTAAGGCTCAGTGCTACATGCATACATCATTAAGGCTCAGTGCTACATGTATACATCATTAAGGCTCAGCACTACATGCATACATCATTACGGCTCAGTGCTACATGTATACATCATGACGGCTCAGTGCTACATGCATACATCATTAAGGGCTCAGTGCTACATGCATACATCATTAAGGCTCAGTGCTACATGTATACATCATGAAGGCTCAGTGCTACATGCATACATCATTAAGGCTCAGTGCTACACGTAACCATCATGACGGCTCAGTGCTACATGCATACATCATTAAGGCTCAGTGCTACATGCATACATCATTAAGGCTCAGTGCTACATGCATACATCATTAAGGCTCAGCACTACATGCATACATTATTAAGGCTCAGTGCTACATGCATACATCATTAAGGCTCAGTACTACATGCATACATCATTAAGGCTCAGTGCTACATGCATACATCATTAAGGCTCAGTGCTACATGTATACATCATTAAGGCTCAGCGCTACATGCATACATCATGACGGCTCAGTGCTACATGTATACATCTTGACGGCTCAGTGCTACATGCATACATCATTACGGCCCAGTGCTTCATGCATACATCATTAAGGCTCAGTGCTACATGCATACATCATTAAGGCTCAGTGCTACATGCATACATCATTAAGGCTCAGTGCTACATGCATACATCATGACGGCTCAGTGCTACATGCATACATCATTAAGGCTCAGCGCTACATGCATACATCATTAAGGCTCAGCACTACATGCATACATCATTAAGGCTCAGTGCTACATGCATACATCATTAAGGCTCAGTGCTACATGCATACATCATGAAGGCTCAGTGCTACATGCATACATCATTAAGGCTCAGTGTTTTGGTGCTGTCACTTTTAATAGTGTACACAGTCGCCTTCTCATACCGAAATGTCCTTTGTTATAGTTAGCAACAT